CCTAAAATGAATCCGCACGCACACGGACATACAAGCACGCAAGCGCACACAGACATACATTGGTATAATTAGAACAGAATAAATGGATCCAATAACTGAGGGTAGCATAGGAGGGCCGTGGCAACTTCAAGCATATTACTCTAGCTCCGATTTCAATTTTATATTATAATATTACAGTTAACTATTTATTAAATTAATGTTTAGCCAAACGATGACTTAAGGAACTAGAAGCTAGAAATCAACATTCCCAAAAATGGGAGTGGCGCAGGACCTACATAATGATTAAACTTGAAGTGGCACCCCCATGAAGAACGAAACTCAGAAATGAGGTACGCTGAGGACATGCGGCGTTGAAGTCCATGCTCTTTTTCGCTTATCATGGTCGAAAGCAAATACTGAATGTCCGAACTCGTACCTTTGGCTACTGCTCCAGCTACATCTCCCCAGGCTTTGACTTAGCGGTCATAAGGTTCGGTGCACTCCATGGGAAAAGAGAATGGACCACGCCTAACGTGCCAAGCGCAGGTAACGTGGCGTTTGACCCTAATCAAGCGGAGGAAATTAGACATAAGATGATCAGACAGTGTGAAGTCTGTCTTCAATCATACGGCGAAACTGGTTCATGCTGCTGCAAGGTGAGAAAATTAACGAGTGCCGCCGTACGACCTCTAGCCTGCATTTGTTTTACACGTGCGTCACTTAATAGTGATACACGACCGAATGTCGGTACGATGCTCAACTTGACTAAAACGGGCAAGGGTGCGACGATTAAGCTCAGTGTATCCCTAGTTTTTGCAGCGCCAGCTTTCGCAAAGACGTGTTTTGAGCTCCGGTGTGGTGACGCGCCCGATCACCCCGATAAATTCGCACCTCGCTCGCGTCCGGTAGCTCATGAGTGTTCTCGAGCGTTATTCGGGTGTAAACAGAAATGTATAAATATGCTAATGAATGGAGTACAACAAAACTTTTCACGAAAATCTACGCTTTTGAGACTGTAGGCATTTGGAAAAAATGCAAGAAGCTAAAACAAAAAAAAAAAAAACTCGATACTGTAAACGACTTAATTTTCGCGAGGACCTAGTTTTCGGGAATTGCGCGAATCGCCTACAATTCGCGAAAAATAGGTCCCGCGAACAACTCCGGTAAAATATAAACACATTGGAATCTATATTGAGATCCCACCGCGTCGCAAAAATTAGAACCCGCGAATTATTCCAAAACTTCAGCTTTGACCTCAATCGCGAAATATTGAGCCCGCGAAAAATAAATCGTGTACAATATTTCCTGAGTAACGAAAAAAAAAAAGAAGAAAACAAACCGTCCGCTTGACGTTGCTACTCACCTATTGTACCACATACTTTCTGATCTGCTGGATCCCCTCTATGGTGTTCATCTCTAAGAAGCGTTCAAATTTTTATGTGCTATATGTGAGTGATTTCGGCAACCCGATTTGCTTCTATTTTCCTATCGCTCATAGAAAAAAAAAGTGTAAAATCTTTGTCATTTTTTTTTACAGAAACCTGCACTTACGAAATTGCAGTGTGATAAATAATTAAAAAGTTAAAACAGCGCAAAAGACAACGGACAGGGTAAATAAGGTCACAGACAGAGCGCTGTGTCCTTCGTTACCCTGTCCGTTGTCTTTTGCGCTGTTTTAACCTTTTAAGTATGTCACACCAACTCGCCCAGGCTTCAACCTTAGCGACAAATAAACCACATAAATTCACCTCTGTGACAACTTTAATCTCACTCGGTTTATTGCTGTATCTATGTGACTTTTGTAGGCTCGATCAGCGCTCGGAAGCACCCTGTTATAATTCACTGCTACACTCTAAAAAAAGCCCGTGCGTCTACTTTCCCGCACAACTCTCGCAGAGCCAATCACCGCAACTTACGGAGGCAACTCAGCTAGTGACGCTGCCGAAACATCTGTTTAGACCAAAAAACGCACTCCAAGTTGTGACATTAAGCAATGGAAGCTTGACGTTTCGCATTGCTTAATGTCATAACTCAGATTGCGTTTTTTGGTCTAAACATATGTTTCGGCAGCGTCATTCGCTGTGCTGCCTCTGTAAGTTGCGGTCATTGGCTCTCCGAGTGTTGTACGGGAAAGTAGACGCACGGGCTTTTTTTAGTGTGTATACCTCAGCGGATAAAGGATACTAACATCTAGGCTTATTAATTTTTTTTTGTATTTATAAATACCAGCTTTTCTAGCAAAACAAAATACATCATAAGGGTGACAAACTTCATAATCAATACCGCCGTGCGACAGCGATGCAGTTCGATATTGTATATACGCTCTAAAAAATGACAGCGCCTCTACTTACCCGCAAAACACTTGAAGTGCCAACCTCTCCGATCTAAGAAATCAGCTTAGCAAATGATGAGGCGGAGCATCCGTTTAGACCTCAGAATTAAGTCTGCGCTGCGGCATTACGCAATGCAAAACGTCATGCTTGCATTGCGTCATGCCACTGCGCAGACTCATTTTTATGTCTAAACAGGTGTTCCACCTCATCATTCACTGAGATGATTTCGTAGATCGCAGAGATTGGCTCTTTGAGTGTTTTGCGGGCAAGTAGAGGCGCAGGCAATTTTTAGAGTGTATACTCCGCGACAACTTTTCTTGGCAAAGCAGTGGAAGGTACAGGCCCGCGTTCCCTCTCCTATTTTGAGCGTACGCAGGCTCTCCTCCTCCCCCATTTCCGGGGAGAGGAGGAGAGCCCGCGCACACTCAAAATGGGAGAGGGGACGCGGGCCTGTACCTTCCACTGCATTGCCAAGAAAAGTTGTGGCGGAGTATAGTATACTGATTGGCAGTTTAAGAAAGACGTGGTTCGGCGAGGCTCGAGCATTTTATTAGCGGCCCGCAGCCAATCAGGCTGCGGCTTTAGCCGATACAAACGCCAAGCGAATTCACCACGCCCGGCCTTCCTTAGTTAAGCTGCCATTGACTATACGGAGCGCAAGCTTCGGGATGGAGGTGACGTCAGAACGCCATTCTCTGATTGGCCCTGAGTAGAAGGATAGTGGGTAGACGTCAATGCTACCTGTCTCTATGTGTACGTAGTATTTTACAATCAGGGCCAATTAGAGCTCCGCGTTCTGACGTCATCACCGCCCTTGCGCAAGAAGCATACGAAACTTGCGCTCCGCATAGTCACTGAGCTTCAGAGACGACGCAGGGCATGGCGAGTCCCGAGCACCCTATAAACATTCCTCCTCCGATGGCAAAGCAGCATTAACCAATAAAAACACCAAAAACCTATCACGAAGCAAGAAATACGAACATTATGATCCATACCCTGTGTTTCTTAAACATTCGGGGACTATAGCGACGAGGTCGAGTTACGACGTGCCGTTTTGGTTTTTCTGCTTAGGGGAAGAGTTCCGCCATTCGTGTGAACGTCCAATCAGACGCTAATGAATCTCGAACTGAGGTCTCGAAAGCAGTGTCTACACTCACCACGGTTTCCCAAAGCTTCACTTTCAACTTTTGTGTCGTACGGTCCTTCCTCCGGCGGATGCAGACTTCAAAGCTGTACGGCGACCAATCGTTCCGAAAGGCGTCTCGGGGGCATCGGTACGCGAGGAAGAGCACGCCAATCGAGGGTCAACATAGAGAAGGCGCAGGGATCGCGCGAAGACAAGGCAGCCAAGCGCGCACCGTCATGTAGACACACTTGCACGCTGTATATACGAGCTGGCATGGCAGCTGGCGCTGAAACGCCTAAAAGTGGGGCAAAACGCACGGCCACGGTTACTTCATAGGAGAGGCGTTATTCTCCCCGAGCCCGTATGAAACCTAACTCAGTTTCGTGGAACATTCCAGAGAGGGCACCAGCTTATCTGCTGAAGATTGATTGAATCGCGCCTTCCGTCTGACTCTCTCGTCTACGCAGTCGAACTACTTATCTCGACTAGAAGTACGCTACACAGCGGATCAGCATTCACTAGATGAGCTAAACTTCGGTATGGTGGGCTAGGAAGAGAGGTGTAACGGATGCGCGCTTTTGACCGATAGATGCCTCGCGCTTCGTGCCTCAGTGTCTCTTTAATCACCATGGTATAGTATCATCTATAGGCTGGCAGCAGCGCCACAACGGCCAATGCCAAGTTAATTAATTAGAAATTGTTTTCTAAATAAAGCCGAGCTGTCAAGAAATATAAAACAAAAAATACAAGGGGTGGTGTTTCCATTTAGAGCTGAAAAATACCTACCTATACAGGTTGTTATAAAATGCTCAATCCTCTCAATTTCGTTAGCATCTTATTCTCTGATAGCCTTAGGTACAAGGTGGTGCTGCGTCCGCATAATCATTAATCCCTGCACTGTGAGCTTGAATCGTGGAACCGCTATCGCGGTGCCAAGATTGTTCAAGTGCAAGGTGTGATGTTTCCGTGTGTCTCATCTTGTGAGACCTTTCGAAGCAAAATTACAATAAGGAATATCGGTTACAAAACTCGCCTCTGCTATTCGAACTCCTTCAAAATCGAAGTACACGTACATTAGTAGAAATTGCTTGTCAAACGTTTATTTAAAAGTGTAGACAATTGTCATTTGCAGTATTAAATTAGTGGTAAGCGGGAAAGGCGCTACTAGGAATTTCAACGGGATACTAAATAAGCCCCCCTATGATTCAAATAATACTAATGAAGGAAACGAAAACAATGAAAATCCTACTCGATATTTTGTGTGACCTCCGAGAGCAACAAGAGTTCACATAAAAATATTTTATTAGGGTCAGTTGGGATACCATGACCCATGTGCAGTTCCCGAGTACATTTATTTTGTCTCCAGAGACTTTGGGTATTTTTCGTTTTATCGAGCACCAGAACAACTTGAACAACTCCTTCCTGTCTAGTGAGAGTTTACTTCTTTACAGGTGGGATCGAGCGCACTGAAATCACTTTTTGACGCGCGCCCGGTGGTGATCCTAAGTCAAGCAACGCGGAATGCCACATTCTACCAAAGTCGTCGCCAATCCAAGATTTTCTTTTTTTTTTTTTTTTTCATTTCGCCGCATAGAACGGGTACCCCATATAAAGCATCCCTAGGCTCTTTTCGCAACACACGGTCAAGTAGAAATGGAGCAGACTGTTCGACGAAGCACACTAGGAACCTTGATCGGAAGGCAGTTCATTTCTTCTGCACGGAGATCAACGCGCCATGTGCCACGGTGTCAGCAAGGGTCCAGACAAGTACGGCTTCCCGAAGCTGAATTGTCTGCCGAAGCCAGGAAAGGCGGCTGACTGCACAGCGCTGCCTCCGTATGCGTCGAACCCGCTTGAGAGGGAACTGGACTCCGGCTGAAGCATCTCGCCTTCGTTCAAGCTGCGGATGATGTACATGGTGTTAGCCTTGCGACCGCCCCCTCCTCCGCCGTGACTTGTGTAGTACTGCTGCTGAGTCGAAGGACTGGCTGTTTGGTGGACGGGGCTGGACAGGTAGCTCCGCGGGAGGACGTAGCTGCCGGGATAGGCTGCTGTGGCCCTTGTGTGGCCGGCACAGGTGATTACAACGACGGAGCAGACCAGGGCTGCGATTGATTGCTGGGGGGCAGAAAAGAAAGGTCGGGAGTGTGAGAGGGACACAAAAAAATGGCCGGAACTGCTCCGCAGATTCTGAGTTAATAACCCTATAAATACAGGGCGGAAGCAGCGATTTTGGAGAATCATCATGATATCGAAATAAGACAAGTTCAATATGTAAAACTGATTTACTAGGTGTGTACTGCATATATGACATCATTACACAACAATAACTTTTCGAACGGTAGCCTTTGAGCTTCCAGGAAAAAAAAAACGATGAAACACTGGGGTTTGCCTTATCAGTCTGGGTGAATCATAATGTTTTGATCATATTTTATAGTAATCAACGCTCTGATAGTGTTTAGTTAAGATATAATTACTGACAGACCTGTTGACATGAAAAAACAAAGAAAGTGCCGCCAACAGAGATGCCAATCAGCACTTTCGATATGCTCGAACACTCCATGAAAAACTAAGGAACAGCCTTTCATACATTAGGATAAAAATCGCGAATATCGCCTGCTTTAATAATGCTAGTTCAGTCGCGTATAGCGCGAGTGAACGAAACTTTATATCTCTCTGTGTGTTACATGTCAGAGTGTCATAAACTTGAAACGCGATGCGTTTGCAAGACGTTTAATTTACTTATTCGATTATGTCCGCCTCCGACGCCACTTATATCATGCTTTTGTGGCTATACTATACTATAACACGTATAGCATGGAAGGACAGGATGAGCGGGTTGGTATGGATAATTAAACTTGTTTGTCCGTCCCTTCTCCTTTTCCTCCTCAAGTCTAACGTAGTGCATCTCAGTAAATTTCTCCCTCCAGAATTATTAATCAGGTAATAATGAAACTATTAATTATCGAATATTGTTAAGACGAAAGGGCGTAGAAAATGCGGGAGAAATTGACTTGTTTTGTATTCGTCTCGGCCTACAACGATGTTCTTACAAGCTCCGACTACGTGCACATTCTCTAGTTCGTCGTCGAACTTTGCCATCGAATGTTGCTGCACCACTCCTAATCTCCTCAACTGTTTGTTTTTAAAAGAGCTAAGGCTTCTGAACCTTTTTCGCACAAGAAAACTGGAGGTGTTCACGCAGGGAGCAATAACCCTTTCAGACCCTTTCCAGTCGCCCACTATCTCGTCTTATAGCGATTCGCGATTGACAGCCACGCTACACTCACCGTGGTCGCGTACATTGCAAAACAAGACTGCAATGATGCGAATGTTTTTTTTTTTTCTTTTTTGTTAGACGGATAATGCACTGAGCGCTTCTGCGAGCTCATACCCATTAAGCACAAATTGATTTGTTGTAACGGACTATGCAGATGATGCCCTTCGGCGCACCTTTAAATTTCTATAATTAGGGTCATTGTTTTGTTGCCGGAAATCATGGCATAATGAATTTATGTTGTTTAATAAAGCTGGAACTCTCGTTAGAACAGTACCCTCGAAGCGAAGTTCTTTATTGTTTTGTTACTTTACTCCTGCCCTGATATACGCACATAGTAGTATCAAAGCACACTGATCGTTAGTTGTTCTCTATTGCACTTTTGCTACAAGTGTTGCCTTTTCGATTATTCCTGAGGGAAATTATTATATATAACGTAAAGAGAGAGAGAGAGAGAGAGAAATGAACTATGTTCATCGTACCTATTATCTCATAGCTGAATTAAAAAAAAAGAATTGACGAACGTTTATAAAAATAAAAAAAAAATAAACAAAGTAGACAAGCCTAACTTGAATAAAAAGGGAATTCATTTCAGTCCCTAAACCGATGAAAAAACTAGTAGCTTGCACTATGGTGTTCTATCCTTGCTCGTGCAATAATATTTCATATATATCACTGAAGTCGACGGATAATTGAAATCTCAAAAACGTCCATACGATATCATTTTCCTTGAATAGAATTTTGAATTTGAAACACACACACACACACACACGCCCACACACACACACACACACTTTCCCTTAATTGCAGAAAAAAAAAGGAATCTTGCACTAATAGCAGTCGCCCGTAACACCATAAAACATTAAAACAGTTTCCTTAAAATGCGATTCGCTCGCAGGAATAAAGTGAAATAGGCATAAAATACTCCTTTTTTGTACTTGGCTTCTGTAAACTATTCCTGATAGCGTAGCTTTTGTATGACTCAATCGAATTATTTCCTATGACCAGTGTTGTAGGCGTTACCGAAAAAAAAAGTAACGAAATACGTTACTCTCTACTTGCACATAAGGGGAAGGCGTTACCGACCTACGTTACCTCGAAAAAAAGGAACGCGTTACTGTTACAGTTACCGATAGAAAGTAACTCACGTTACTTTTTATTTATGAATTAAGAAGTTTTACTGCATTTACCTTACAGGGATGCGTAAGCGCCATGATTCAAGAAACATTACGCCTATGCAGACGCTTCTGGTTCTGATTTCGAAGGTATCGGATGACTGCAAGGACTCGTTACTTGGCGGCTAAAGGCACGCAAATATAAATTGAAGTGTAACTTCTTCCAAATCTTGGGGAGAAGATGCAGCGAATTACGTAACTACGTTACCCCTCACTCGAAATAAGTAACGTAAGTACGTTATGTGTTTCAGTTTTCTAAATATAACAAATACGTTACCACGTTACCGAATCAAGTAGCGCATTACCGGTAACGCCTTTTTTTTTTTTTTGTAACGCATTTCCGCCAACGCTGCCCATGATCAATATTACCCAATTTTTATGAATTTGCTGAAAACGTGATTTATAGCTGCGCTTCTGTGGTGGCCTATATATCTATGATAGATATATGCTACCGGCACGGAAGTGATACATTCCCCGAGTCATAGCTAAGAGGATTCCTTCGAAGTGCCGGGATCCATTTTGGGAGGGGAGGTCATCCGAACCCAGAGTGAAGCCCGACACGTTCCTAGTTCCACATCCCATCCGTAAGAAACCAAACCAACTCACCACAGAGAGCATCGTGCGAACGTTTTTCGTAGCCTCCCACGCCCAGACGCTCCACTAGAACCGATGAATGGAAAGAACGAGCTTCGCAATACGTCTTGCCATTGCTTCGCTTGGCTCGTCTTATATACGCCCAGCAGCGGACTGACCACGAGCCATTCCCCGGCAAGCCGCCATATTTATCTTCCCTTTCCCTTTTAGTCTACTTCGCCGAGGACACACCTCCCAGGGTCCGTGCCGTACGGGAAGTCCTAATGTTCGCGACCCTAATGCACGAGTCTGGAGCGAAAGACTGAGAAAGAAAGGGTCCTCCTCTTCGCTTCAGCGACCGCCATCTTGCTCTTGGCCCTGAATTCGGCAACATGTAGGTCACCTTCGGGGAGATGGCCTCAAAGAGAAGTAACACACGTCGCAGGAAGGCACAAAAGAAACAAAGCCGGTGAAATGATAGACTGATTTGAGAGGGCGGCTTCAAAGTGGAACGGATGGGTGATGAATCTGGTCGCCGGTTGCGGTTTCGTTTTGATTCTCTAGCGCGCTCCCTGTCTCTCTCTTTCTCGCTTTGTCTCTCGTTCTCCCTCTGTTGACGCTCTCGCGCGCTTGCGACCCGCTGCGGAGAGTTTATGAAGCCCAATTGGCCCGTGGAGATGTCGACAAGTTGGCCGCTGCTTAGTACGCGGAAGAGACGAGGATTGATTGACTCTAGCTTCCTCGTTTCGGGACAGGAACTTTGCGGCTTCGGGTGGCCTCTTGGGTTTCTTGACTCGAGCATCGTTTTCCTGGAAACGGTTCGCTGTCTCTGATCGCTTTTGGCGACGACCCTCCGGCTATTTTTAGATGTACATCTCTTTCGCGGCTCTGAGCGCGTCCCTGCACGAGGAAATCTCTCGAGTGGCGGTTCGAGAACGACATCACATTTGAGCTTCGCAATTTTGGCCGCGGGCTCTGGTTACGATTCAGGAGCACGTAGTCGCCGAGGGTGTGGTTTCACTCATACCATTTAAAAAGGAAAGGAAAAAAAGAAACGTGGATTACTAACAGCAGGTAAGTAAAAAACGCAGGCGAGCTGGTGATTGACATCCATAGTAAACCCAATACAAGGGAATACAAAATAAATAAAAAATATACACACAGAACGAAATCTTAATAATTGAGACTTCAGTTTTGTCCGCCTTTTTTAAAATTATTCCCTTGTATTGGGTTTGCTATGAATTACTAACAGCAGTTTTTCTATAAGTAAAACAAACTGAAGTGACGGCTTCAGTTAACATCTAGTATTTTTTCAGTCATGAGACTTCAGCGAATATTTAACTCGGAAATAACTTAGCCAAAATATTTGCAATTATAAACATGGTCACTGCCCGGTTTAGTGCATCCACATACTACAATGCTTGTCAAAAAACGTCAACGTTTTATTCTCTCTGCCACGTCCATGCCAATGCTTTTTCAAAATTTGCCTTACGCAAAATAGGGACAAAATAGGGCCTGTCCATATGGGAGCTAGAAAATTTCGCACAAGAAAAAAAAATTTGTGAATTGTTTTTTGTGCGGAAAACTTCCTTTCTTGCGTGAAAAATATTTCCGGCAAATAAAAATAGAAGAGTTTTCCCCACAGCATAACCTGCGCGGCGAGCTGCTCTCTGAATGGCAAAACACTTATTTACTGATTTTATGTCCCACGATCTTTGAATATGCCTGTGCAATTTAAAATCGTTTTCATTACGCTTATTGATCAAACTGTGCAAAACAAAGCCGCGATATTTGTTTCTGGAAAGTATGTGTGCAATAAAATCATCGGGGCCATTCAAAATTACCTTAGTTTTAAGCCACTGTATTCTCTCAGAAAATGCCTTCGATCAAAACTAATGTATAACATAAACTCAAAAGAAACCAGGAATTAACAGAAGTATAGGTCTGTGTATCCGCCATAATTTATTTCGGAGGTCGGTTTTATATTGGAAAATATAAAAAAAATTTAACCGTTTAACGAATGCTTTTACATAATCGTTTCTTCCGCCTACAGTTGAAGAATGGGAATCGGATGCTTGTGCAGATGCTTTCGAATGACTTTGTTTTAATATTTGATAAACGAACACGATTAATGCTCTCTTGCCAATGTTATGAATGTTTCCCTTCCGAGTCAAGTTTATTTGGGGTCGTATATTTGTGTGTATAGGTGCGTATATTTCTTCGGGTATTTTTCTGTATATTTGCGTGAATTTAATATGCACCTTTATCACTTTCCTACAGTCTATTACATAAAAAACAAAAATTCCCCAAAACTTTTGCCTTTCATCTGGAGATTTTATACCACCAAGTTTCTGGCGAAATAAAGAATTCAAGTATCTTAATCTTACACCGACCTCTAACCGAGCTGAACAATCATTCTAAGAAAAGTGGGCAGGGTACTTAGGATTCAGTTGTAGCAAAGCACTATAAGTCACTGTGATAATAAGTGGATTGGATGAAATATCACGCCTTCAGTTTGTGGTCAGGAGAAGAAACTGTGAACTTCATGAAAGGGTAACTTACCAGCTGTTTGTGCGCTCATTTGAGCTAATACTGGAAACACGAATGATGTTCCTTCTGCCAAAAGGAGTATTTTTCAAGGGTGTGGGGTCAGATAATAGTGCCTTTAAAATGTGCACCCACGCGGGAACACGTATAACGGTAGCGTAAAACGTTTTTCCTGTTTTTTCTTTGTGAAAAAAAAAACGGATTTTGAACGAACAAGCAAACGCTGGTGCAAGAACGGAAAATTGTGTTACCGGAAAGTCGGAAGAAGGAAAAAAAAAGAAAAGCTAAATTTGCACAAATCAACACACGAGTTTGTTTTTTCCTTGACTGGCCGGAAGTACTTCTATTCCTATCATATGATGTTACGTCCAGTGGCGTACCAACTTGTCTTTGAGTGGGGGGCAAACCGGACCCCCCCCCCCTCCTCCCCCAGGGCCGGGGGCGGTGCCCTAGGTATCCCCGTGGCGCCGCCGGCTAGTGTTTTCCCTGCCCAGTGGCGGCTGTTTCAGGGGGGGGGGGGGCAAACACATGCCTTTGCCCCCCCCCCCTCCCGCCCTGGGAACTGGGGGGGGGGGGGGGCAAGCGCCCCCCTTGCCCCCTCCCCCGGTTGGTACGCCCAAGGTTACGCCTATTCGAATAACGAATAATTATTAAGAAATAATTCAAACATCAGTAGATTTTTTTTGCAGTGAGGAAATAAACGATGCTTTCAGTTTCACTTCAACATTATATGCGTTATGAGCGAGCTCATTTTCCTATACAGCCAGCAGCAAAAATAAAACAGAAGAAGACGGGCACTTTCTGTGTCTTGCCCCCTCTTTGTTTTATTATTTCTGCTAGATGTAGACTTTACCATCAACAGTGTTTTTGAGCGTTGACTGGCATAACTGAAATTCCCACTTATGACGCACTTCTGTCTAGCTTGATATCTCAGCGCTTTCAGTAAATCATTGTTCAATCATCCCTCCGCTAAATATTGTTTTATCATTTATTAGCACCTACATTTTCATGTCATAAATGCATATATATGCTTCGATTACGCGGTTTCAGACAGACAAACAAACACACACACACGCAAAATTAAATCTCCGGCGCAAACTGCGTTGCTAAATACTTTTGGCTTGGAGAAAGTAAGGTGCACGCAACGGTACCCACAATTTTTTTTTTTTTTCTTTTTCATTTTGTTACTTTTCGATTTGTTAATTTATGGAAAATTATGTAATGAAACTACGTTTTTACAAAACCCGGCAACCCATCTCGTAATGAGGTTATCGTATCTGTAACAAGATCGAGCGTCCGTGTTTTATTCAATATTTCGCTCACGTATGGATCTCGTATGCGAAATCTTTTTCATGACGGTCATTGTTTCTTCTGCCCTTATGAATCTTTATAAATTCGACGGCTTCCCTCACGGAATTCGTTTGCTCCCTGATACGCACGCAGTAATGAGCCTTGGCTCTCGAATGGGCGACCGTACATTCGAAAAGATCAAATTATACGCGACAATCGTCACTTCAATTTTTGTTGTTTAGACATTCACGCACTTTTGTTGTAGCCAAGGCTGACGTCTTATCGTGTCTTGAAATACTTCACTCACATGCATTTTCACGCTTAAAAGGTTTCATGAAGACACGAGAAAAGAAAAAGAAAAATGGCTGTGATCTAGAAAATAGTAACACTAATGATAATGAATGCGAGAATGAATGAATGAGTGAATGAATGAATGAATGAATGAATGAATGAATGCGTCCGCTTTTTTTAAAAAAACAGCCAAAGCCAGTTTTGTTGTCACATTCGACCAACCCAGACAGATTTATCTCTTATATCTATACGTTTGAATATTGAAAGAACACAAATAATATGTCAATTTATTTACTAAGAGACCCAGTGTTGAAAAAGTTTTTTTTCAAAAATGTACCTACGTTACAGTTACAATTACTTATACAAAAGGACACCTAGGTACGCACTTAAAAATGTACCTAGGTATCGGTGCGGTTACTTCAAAGCAACTTTATTTATTTCCCCCAAATTTGTCAGAATATATTGGAAGTAAAGCTTGTTATACTAAGAATAGGCACAGAAACGAGTTCGATAAATGTGCTTTATTAGTGTGAATGTGAGGCCAGAACTTCCATTGTTTACCATGCCACGCCGAAACAGCCGAAACTCGCTTGTTGACGTTCTTGCCTTCAGAGCCGGTGCTGACGTCGACGGGCACAGAAGACGTCGGCCGCATGAAGAAACGCATGAGTCGAGTGCATATGCCCCTAACCTTCGCGACGACGAGCGAAATGCTTCAAGCTTCCTCGTTTTTACAGCGAAGCTGTTGTGCGCTAGGATCTGGGAAAAAATGCGTCCGTGGATGTTGACCAAAAACTCCCAATTGGCCGTGGCAAGTATGAATAAATAAAAATAAAGAAGTGGGCAACCAGCGTGAGTCAGCTTTCCTTGGCGTTATTAGATTTCGAGGTCCTGATCCCTTGTTATCATCTCAAGGCATCGCCCTCGAGGTCGTCATCGAAGTCGTCCTTGAGGTCGTCAGAGAGGTCGTCCTCTAGGAGTCGTCCTCGAGGT